AGGGCAAAGAAGACCGCAGACGGAGTACAGTCTAGGGGGCCAGAAACTACAAACCTCACTCTAGGAAAAAGATCTTTGGGTGAGTATAACACCAGGCACATCTCCTGAAGGGCACATCAACCAAATAACTGCTGCAGCATATGGGCGCCTAGCAAACCTCAGAACAGCATTCCGCCATCTTAATAAGTAATCGTTCAGGATCCTGTACACTGTGTACGTTAGGCCCATATTGGAGTATGTGGCACCAGTTTGGAACCCACATCTTGCCAAGCACGTAAAGAAACTAGAAAAAGTGAAAAGGTTTGCAACAAGACTAGTCCCAGAGCTAAGGGGTATGTCCTACGAGGAGAGGTTAAAGGAAATCGACCTGACGACACTGGAAGACAGGAGAGATAGGGAAGGACATGATAACGACACATAAAATACTGAGAGGAATTGACAAGGTGGACAGAGACAGAATGTTCCAGAGATGGGACACAGCAACAAGGGGACACAGTTGGAAGTTGAAGACACAGATGAATCACAGGGATGTTAGGAAGTATTGCTTCAGCCACAGAGTAGTCAGGAAGTGGAATAGTTTGGGAAGCGATGTAGTTGAGGCGAGATCCATTCAGAGGTATGATAAAGCTCATGGTGCAGGGAGAGTGACCCAGTAGCGGTCAGTGAAGAGGCGGGGCCAGGAGCTATGAACCGACCCCTGCAACCACAACTAGGTGAGTACAGCTAGGTGATTACACACACACACGCACACACAGACTGGACACAGACTGGACACCTGGTCCAGCAACTGGCTTCTCGAATTTAACCCCGCCAAATGCAAAGTCATGAAGATCGGGGAAGGGCACAGAAGACCGCAGACGGAGTATAGGCTAGGTGGCCAAAGGCTGCAAACCTCGCTCAAGGAGAAAGATCTTGGTGTGAGTATAACACCGAGCATGTCTCCGGAAGCACTTATCAACATATCAACCAGATAACTGCTGCAGCATATGGGCGCCTGGCAAACCTGAGAACAGCGTTCCGATACTTTAGTAAGGAATCGTTCAAGACACTGTACACCGTGTACGTCAGGTCCATACTGGAGTATGCAGCACCTGTTTGGAACCCGTACTTGATCAAGCACGTCAAGAACTTAGAGAAAGTGCAAAGGTTTGCGACAAGGTTAGTTCCAGCGCTAAGGGGAATGTCCTATGAAGAAAGGTTAAGGGAAATCGGCCTGACGACACTGGAGGACAGGAGGGTCAGGGGAGACATGATAACGACATATAAAATACTGCGCGGAATAGACAAGGTGGACAAAGACAGGATGTTCCAGGGAGGGGACACAGAAACAAGAGGTCACAATTGGAAGTTGAAGACTCAGATGAGTCAAAGGGACGTTAGGAAGTATTTTTTTAGTCATAGAGTTGTCAGGAAGTGGAATAGCCTAGAAAGTGAAGTAGTGGAGGCAGGAACCATACATAGTTTTAAGATGAGGTTTGATAAAGCTCATAGAGCAGCGAATATCCAGTAGCAACCAGTGAAGAGGCGGGGCCAGGAGCTAAGACTCGATCCCTGCAACCACAAATAGGTGAGTACCCACACACACGTACGCACATACACACAAAAGCGCGACGATAAATAAATAAAAGATTTAGGAAGAATGGATAGTTTTTGATGCAATACAAGCAGTTGTAGTCAACAGTATCGAGAGTAAAGTTTGATGTGCTGACGGTATGAAGGAAAGCGACCTCCTGAACCTCTGTGTCATAACAGGGAGAAATGGCTCTACAGTCGCCATTAAAATAAGGAGCAAAAAAAAAAATACAATTAGGAATAATGTGTTTTGAGGCCACCCTTCAGCCATGGACAGTACAGAGTACAAAAATACCCATATTCTGAGATGGAGATAGATAGGTAGTTAGATAGATAAAGAGAGAGAGAGAGAGAGAGAGAGAGAGAGAGAGAGAGAGAGAGAGAGAGAGAGAGAGAGAGAGAGAGAGAGAGAGAGAGAGATGTTGATGTTGCCACCCCTACTCATCTTGAAATGATGTTCTTCAAGCTCTGCATAAACACATTCCTCACCGGCAATATGTGACGAAGCCTACAGATCAGCCTTGGTTTGGCTTTCGTTGTAGAGAGGCTGCTACTGCTAAGTACAAAGCATGGCGAACGTATAAGAGACATCCTACCACCTATAACAGGAACTTGCACATGCAAGCCTGTAGGCATGTGAGTGACGTTCAAAAGTGGGCCATTGCTAAATGGGAGGTGGACACAAAAAGAAAGCTAGCATCAGGTAGGGTAGGCTCCAAAACCTGGTGGTCCCTGGTCAAGGACAGACAAGGTTATCTGCCTGATGAACTCATTCCACCTCTAAATCGACAGGATGGGACCACCTCTACTAGTAGTCAAGAGAAGGCGGACCTCTTTGCTGAACACTTTGCTACCAAAATGCAAGTTCCTGATCCAGCAAGGGACCTTCCTTGGCTAGCTGCAAGAACTGTGTCAGAACTGTTAGTGGTGGTGACAATAAGGCAGGAGCAGGTGCATTTCCTTCTTAAATCGCTTGACCAAGAAAAGGCTGTGGGCCCAGACAAGTTGAGCCCAAGATTGTTGAGAAGATGTGCAGACCAGCTAGCAGCACCTCTAATTCGCATCTTTCAGCACTGCCTAGTACAGTGTAAATGGCCCTCTCTATGGAAAGAGGCAAATGTAGTCCCTGTTCACAAAAAGAAGAGCAGAGCAGAAATCAGCAACTACAGACCAGTGTCACTCCTGTCAATCACTGGTAAGATATTTGAGACAATAATCTCAAGACAAATGACAGAGTTTTTTGACTACCACTCACTACTTTGTGATCGTCAATATGGCTTCAGGAAAGGTTACTCTGCTGCTGATGTGTTGTTAAACCTCTCCACTAAGTGGCACCAGTCACTGGATGAATCCAAAGTCAGCTGTGTGGTAGCACTGGACATTGCTGGCGCTTTCGACCGGGTGTGGCACCAGGGCCTCTTAGCAAAACTTCAAGCACTGGGAATTGCAGGCTCTACGCTATGTCTCCTCAGTGATTACCTTCATGGTAGATCTCTAAGTGTAATTCTCAATGGAAAGGAATCAGCAAGACATCCTATTGGGGCAAGTGTTCCACAAGGAAGCGTGCTGGGACCATTGTTATGAAATGTCTACTTCAACGACCTTCTTCATCTCTTCCCAGAATCACATGCATATGCAGACAACTGTGCACTGACATTCACTTATCCAAGAGAAGAAATGCCATCTGCTCTAAGCTACATCAATCACCAGCTAAGAGCTATATCAGCTTGGGGAAATAGATGGCAATTAACATTTGCACCTGAGAAAATGCAAATGATGATCGTCTCTAGGCACCATGATGGTAATGCTGATGCAGCAGTGAAGATGAATGGGAGGGTGTTGGCACCTTGAGAAGAAGTTGATATCCTCGGGGTGAAATTTGACTCCAAACTAACCATGAAGAACCATGTTGTAAATCTTGCAAGCAAGGCAGCCAGGAAGCTTACAGCACTTCGCCGTATCTCGCATCTGCTCGACAGTACGGGGTGCAAGATTCTGTACGAGGCACAAGTATGCTCACACCTTGAGTATGCTCCACTTTCTTGGTTTG